TTCGGTCGTAGGCAGAGTATTTGGCCCCGGCGGAGCTCAGCTTCTTCGAGAAGAAACCCAAAGTTTCCCATTCGCCGTTGTATATCTGGTGTAGGGCTGCTCCAAGGGTGTGGTCCGACTCGTCGCAGACCAAGGAGAGTTTGGCGCCGAGCTTTGGATGGGCAAGGAGTGTTGCGTTGGCTAGCGTGTCCTTGCAAGCAGTGAAGGTAGCTTCAGCGGTGTCATTCCACGTAATTGGCTTCTTTCCTTTGATGTTGTGAGGAGGTCGTTAAGTGGCGCCTGGGTCCTAGCAGTCCTACGCATGAAACGCCTGTAAAAGTTAATCATACCTAGGAAATGTTTAAAAATCTGTTTAAAATCTGTTTTTTCATCAATCAGCTGTCGCCCCTATACTAACGACAACTCTCAGAAGTTGAGAAACTTGTGCGAGCTAATGACTAACGAGGTCTTACCTTTTAACGTGTGATTCCCAACACGGAGATCCTTCGCTGTTTCGGGCCGTGGATACTCCTGGATTGCGGAGACCTTCTTCGGAAGGAGTTGTGTGCCTTTGCCAGATATAAGGTATCCAAGGAACGCGACGTTTGGCTCTAGAAATTTCGGAGGCTGAAATTTTGTATGTAGGTTCGATTTATGTTGTACTCCATGTTTTTATTTCGCAGAAATGGACTTCGTGCAATCATAAATAACAGTTATGGATTCAAATACATCTTAAATACATATATTTAGAGTTTGAATGCAGATCAACTCAGTTAAAATATAAACAACCTTCGCGCAAAATAGTTGCTGAGCATTACTTTGTCAGCATATCAAATAATAGAACATTCATCAATTACGATTATTCTATTTATAACAATGATTAGTAAGGATAATGCAAATAAATGTTTTTCTAACTCCGCAAATTTAAATTTACCCAGTACCATCTCCTATTGCCAGGTGGGTGTTATTCAAGTATGGCGATGAAGTTGTATGAGACGGAAAATCTTACTTAACATCATTTCGCATATCAAGCGTCGAGCCAATGGAAATATTTTACTAGGACTAGGCGTAAATCGTCCTATTATTATAACAACAACCAAATTTATCTGCCAACATCCAATTTTTTTCATTTCCGCCCGACATTTACATAACGATGAGTCAGTAGTTTCTGAGATTTTTACCCGTACAAAAATGAAAATATGATTTAGAACCGATGTAGAATGAGGAATGGTCGTCGTTGGCCACGCCATAGGCATCCGTCGCGTCGTTATTTACGACAAAAAGGATGTTCAGGGTCGGATTCGGTCAGAAATGGAAAGTGGGCAATGATATTCTCAAAGTACAGCACCCCTAAGGATTTTTTATCGTATTAATTGAATCAGAAAAGTTTAATAAATAATGATAATATTAATTCACTGATAATGGAATGTACAAAAGTATAGGTAATGTAATTGGTAAATAAATATAGGAACCCACAGAAGGACAGGCGGAATTTATTTATATACGAATTGGTGATTCGTTAGGTCGTTATAAAAAAAAAGTTACAATGAACATATGTCCGGAGTTGCTTAGTTTCTAAGATAGAGGGCGTTGAAGTTTGAAAAAAACTGTATTTATAAAATAGCATAAATATCCTTACACCGATTTGGTTGACATTTGCTACAGTTATTTCAGGTGATAATGCGCTTATTTAGCCTGTACTACATCAAAATTATTAGATCCAGTGGCGTCTCAGTGGGCACCACAGATTAAGCAACTAAAATTAAATTACAACTTTTTCGTCGCTTGTATGCCATCGTATGAATCAACTACCTGCGAAACATTAATCTTTTGTGAAAATCTCGAGGTCAGACCCGCTTTATGTGATATGGGTATAGGAGTTTTCTTTTTAGAACTGTCCATACGGTTTTTGGGCTGATTTTCAGCTGCAGTGCAATCTTTCTGGTACCATTTGAAGGATCTTCTATAGCATCAAGTATAGCTTCTTCTAGTTCACGCGTTGTTACAGTTTCTGGTCTTTTATCACCTGCATTTTCATCAAAACTCCCAGTTTCACATAATCTTGCATGTAGCGTTCTAAATGTTTAAGAACAGGGAGTTACTCTGTTAAGATATCTGTCCTGGTGAATTATATGTGCTTTTTCCGCATTTCCATTTGCTAATCCATAATTAAAGTGCATGTCATCCATTTCAATTCATGATGGAATGACTGCTAATTGACAACTCTGACTTTCATTGATTTGACAACACTATCACTGTCAGCCGGTTTCCAAAGCAGACGTTCATGATATGCAAAGTGGCTTCCATTTTTTTGTCTGGAAAATGAAACTGAATATGAAGAAAACACAAGGGACTAAAGAGTTTTATATTCAGTTGATTGATCTGAAAAGAAAAACTACAACAAGTCAATAGCGTACTTGTTTTTCCCAATATTGTTGGGTGTGGTGTGCCCTGTATCTCAGAAACGAAGTAACAAAATGTTCATGATAACTTATTTTCTTGAAACGACCTAACGAATCACCCTCTGAAATTTCGTACCGTAGTTAGAAAATACCCTGTATAGTCCTCCAGAGTACTTAACGAAATGTTTACGTTAATTTCCCGGCAGTTCATCTCTTTTTATTTTACTCATCCACTCCTCTCTAGGAAGTATAAAAGCATGTGTTTAAATTTGTAAGTGTGTTCATATCTATTTCATACTGTAATGTCCAAAAAAACAGAATCTATCTGGCAAGATTCACATTTATAACCTCATCCTTCAGTGCCTCAGTTCTCGAGGAAGAGGCAGTTAAAGTTTCGAAAGCTAAAACAGAAGAAAGAGTTCTCACTTTTCTTGTCTTCGACTGCAATACCTAATCCAACCTGTTTTTTCAATAAGGCCAGTCGAGCTAACTCGTGTGTGTGAAGTTGCTTTTCCGGGTGTTCATTCGTTGTGTATTCTTCAAAAGTCGACGTTTCGCCTTCATCCCAAATGGCATCAGCAAGACTTGTTATCGCTTGTTCTTCGTGAGACTCAGTTAAGTCGCAGCTGAAAAGCTAAACGTCTGTGGATGTATCGATGTAAGTAAATCTCATGAAAAAAACATGTTTCTAGAATATATGACAGATAGCTATCTTCTGAGAGAAGAGGCATAACACGGACAGCGGAAAGAAAGCGAAAACCCCCCAAATAGACAGCAGAAAGTGTACGTACTGATGTCAATGAAGGTAAAAGCAGAATCTCATAGGTAGATCAGTAGCTCGAAATGTGCAATGCCAGGAAAACAAGAAATTCGTCAACCGCAACCGAAGTACTAGAAAAACGTATGGGATGATAACACGTCTGAAGAAAGACAATTACCTGAAGTTGATTAGAAACTGGTTCAACAAAGTAATTTGGCCAGATTGACAGGTAGTCTCTAAGCATGGTCCAGTGGTTGAGGAGTATAGGAGTTAGTAGATTTCTCTAGGCTTACAAGATATTCTAGTATATCGGAGGAGAGACCAAATGAAACAACGTCAATACACCAGTGGGTCGCATTGAGAGCACAAATTAAAAATAAATCTGGCACGAATTCGATAGAGGTATTACTGGGCCAACTGTCGCCATGGTGTTGAAAAACGACGCAAATAATAGGATTTTTGCAACGCCTTGTAACAAGTTTGTCGAGTAGTCAAGAGAATGTTTAAAAAATTCATGAAACTGGGAAGCACCTGTAGATTATCAGCGACTGTATAAAGAAGCGATTAACCACGAGGGAAGTGGACTATTTGCCACTGTTTCACCTGTTTTGTCATCAATATGACGAGATATACCGAACCAAATTAATATTCGAGATGGAGATTACATGCTGAAAAGTAGACTTCTCATCGTAGTGTAAAAGAACAATTCGAAGAATGAAAGGAGAGTGGTAGTATCTAGTGCGAGACAGTTGCAGAGGAGGAAAATCAGTGCAAATACTTCAGAGAGGTTAACAAGTGACAGTAAATGGGTTGAAATGGGTTTTTTCATTATACCGGTATAGCAACCTAAAAAAATTCAAACTAGGAATCAAGAACTGTTACTTTTTAAACAACGATTTCTAGCACAGGGTACACAATACGCAGTAAACTCCTTTTGTTCCAGAATTGGAATCGAACCAGCATTTACGATGTCGATTTGCGATTACGACTGCTTGAAATAGGGGGAGATATAGAAATATAGCGTTTTGAGTAATGTTTCAAGTGGAGTTAGTAAAATTTACAACTACCTATGACAATTATGAAAGAACCCACACAGTATTTTCAGCGAATCCCCTCTAAACCCCCGACAGCTACTCCGCCATTGCTGAATTTTTAGCGAGAGTGCCAGTCAGTCCCTGATCGCGTCTAAAAACGTCTCTCACCGACTGGCTGGCAACGGTTATTTTAAATTGCTTACGGACCACAGTAAAACGTGTTGTTCGGTGCAAACCCCGCGTGAAATTTTACTCGGCCTGTCATGCCGTGGTATCAAGAAGAAGACGAAGAGGATGACCTGAGGTTTTCCCCCGCTTTGCTGGCCAGACGGGCATCCGAGAGCTGGATAGACACGCCGCCTGTGGAGGTTGTGATACATTTTTTCATCCCCTTCGGATAAGTACGACATATTGTTAGCAACAGATGGAGCCACAACTTTTGCTCATATTGCACTTGTGTGACACTTATTTATGTATCTTATTACAGTTTTTATCTCCATCTGTTATCAGCTTTACGCAGACATGTTGTTCAAAGAGACATTCCATTGGTATTTCTCTCAATGTGACCAACATTTTTCAAAAGAGAAATTCATGAAAATGAATTCGTTCGCCAATTAACTCCTATCTATATCTATACTGAGCGACAAAATTTCCCGATGCCCATATATTAATTTTCCTCTTTGTCACCAAGGAAATTTCAGTCGCTCGAATTGTCAGCAACGATTTATTTTTAGTTCGTTCCGCTATTTATTAGCTGTTTTGGTCTGAATACAAATTCTTGGATATTTTCCATGGCGATTCATGGTTTACAACGAGAAACAAACATTTATCAAATCTCTTATTTCACATTATTGATTATTAATATCCGAAAGACGATGAAGTTTTGTTGACGTTCACTCGCCGTTTTTATATCATCGATAAATTATTTGGCTCCGCTTCAAAAAAAGTATTTTCTGTCGCTTAACCTCGTGAGATTGATACTGAGATAAGTAATAATAGAAAGTTTAATGAAGATATTAATGTAGTGGTATTCTACAATGCAACTGAATTGTGAAGATGAATCAGTACAATGAACTCGATGACGCCTTACTTCAAATGAAGAAATATGAATATTGGCAATTGTCAATTATAACCAAATTAAAACCAAAGAATGTCAACAATCACCAATGACATAAATACAGAAAATCGACCGAATGAATTTCAAATAATCGCTTTATCATAAAATATTCCAAATATCTATTATTGACGGCTTTTCAAAAATAGCATCTTATTTTAAATTCCTCTATGATTCGTAAGAGAGTCGTCATCACCACTTCTTTTTCATCACTTGAGAACCGTGTGATTAGTACATTTCTAGAAAATCTCTGGAAAATCCTACAGTTTTATGAGCATATTGCATTTCTCTTGTTCCCTGAACTGGTTTGCGCATGCATGTCTTTCGTTAGATGTATCATATTCTCCCGGATATCATTTGGGTTTTCCATAAATTCCTTGCCTCCTTGCCCGTTTTCTGCCTCAAGTGTTCGTTCTGGTGTTCCATAAATTCTTGCTTTGTTGGACCCGCTCTGTAGCTCTTTTCTCAGACTTTTTCTTTCGTTTCCCCTTAATCTGTCCAAGTAGTCTCCATGTCTCTCTGACCAATTTCCTTATCTGATCCGATAATAATTTTTTCGCTGCTCCCCCAATTGGTACAGAGTTGTAGTTCATGATCCGTGTCTATAGCCTTTTCATTGCTTGTGACTGCTGAGTGTCCTGGCACTGAATCCAGAGGCAACCTAGTACGGTCCATATGTTTTTCATTTTCTCACGGCATTCCCAGATCAATCTTCATGCCACTCTTGGGTTCATCAATACACCAAGTGCGTCCTAACTGCCGTAAGAATGAAGATTAGCCCATTCCGTTGAGGTCTCCAATATTCCTTGTGCATTGCAAAGTTGCATAAATGTTCGTCCTGGAGACGAATGAAGCAGCTGGTTGTAATGTAGATTTGTGTCCGCACAGTATATTATAGTTACCGTCTCATATTCGACCGTCTATAAATCAACTGTCAAACATGTCCTTGAAATCATCCACTCTTCACGTTCTATGACTTCAACCGTGAAATACTTATATTTCGGGGTCTTATGGTCCATGAATTTGTTGAATGTTTCTTTCACATATTCTGAATTCGCCTCCCACATTATAATACAGTGTAGCGGGGAAAGATTGAAAGTATCTTCAATGCTGCTGTTGAGCTGGTCCATTTCACCTACTACTCTCTAACAAGCAAGTATTTGTTCCCAAGTCAAAAAAAACTGCAGTCTTATGGGCTTATTGAGTTTTTCTCCTATATTTTTTATGACACCCATTTCAACAACCTTGTTGGACATAAATTTGGTTGTCCAACATGAAATCGCGATTATCCTGTCATATTTTTTACAACCTTCACCGATCAATCGCGAGTTGATCTCGATTTGCCAAACTTATGATTAATTAGCCTATGGCCCCGCCTTAGATAAGATAAGTGTTTATACACTTCTCCAAGAAATCAATGTACCACTTTAGTGAATCAATTTTATTTGTAGTCAAAGGAGAAATGAAAAATGAAACATCTTCAGAGTTAACCTACATATTATTTGAAAAAAGTTGACAAAAATATACAGAAAAATGTCAATAACGAGTGTTTCCACCTCTACCACGTATAACAGCATCACATCTTCGGCCCATACTTGAAATTATGTGCCTTATTTAATTCTAGTCCAGTCTTCTTCAAACCTGAATCAGTCTCTCTCCCAGTTCCTGCAGGTTGTTTGGTTGGATCCGGTGCTCTCTCAATCGCCTACCAAGGCTATCCGAAGGCTGTCCTTATTCATCTTTTACTGCCTGAACCACTGTGCATGCTGTTTTTGGCGGGTGCTTGGGCTTGGGATGTGGGAGTTGAGCAAACCGGCCATCGGATGCCTGCTTCCACGTAGCTTCGCTAGATACGGAAATGACAGAATCACCTAACTGAATGGCATCCCAACGATGGCTTAATTCTATGGTGTGTGTATCCGTGCCGAGAGAATGAATGACACTGAGCCTATCAGCTGCCTCTAAGGAACATTCGAGATACCGGGCGCCTTGTCACGGTAATGCGGGGCTCTGCCATGATTGACCTTCTTTCCTTAGCTACTCGTGGGACTTTTATGGACATAGTAAACCTAAAAATTCTTTCTGGCGCTGAGTCTACAGAGGAGATGGATGTTGAGCTTAGGACTCCAACTGACCTCCCTGACTTTGGACCTGACCTAACCTAACCTACGTGCTGGCCATGCTATGGGGTTAATTTTAACCTCTTCGAGGTAATTTCTGACTATCTGTGCATCATGGAGTCTGGCTTTATCTTGCATTAATAAGAAATTTTCGAAAATGATCAAACTGTGTTCCCTTTATTACGCATATAATCAATTTTTGTTTTTCCAGTAATGTGTTTCCATCTGCATGGAGATGCCATAGTCACAGTGTTACCAAAAAAATCAAATCCAGAAAATTTCAAAGATCTACGTGGAATCAGTATACTACCTACGATGTCCAAAATAATTGTCTGCAAGCATGATTGCCTGTTTCACGGAATTTTTGCAAGATCCGTGTGATGGATGTGTGGGACACATTGAATCGACGACCATTTCGTCAGTAACTCCAACCTTCTTCGCTTGGGCACATTCATCACGGGTTTAATTATATTATTGACGCTCCATAATAAACACAAGTGAGAATTCTTTACACGTAAACAGTAACCGAATAAGTACACATATCGCATTCACAAATAACATATACGAGGGGCTTACCAAATATTAAATTGTAGTAGGAGTTTTTACTAACACCAACAAAATATTTTGAAATCTCGATGTGGTGCGTTAATTCATTGGAGAAGTTTATATTCATGGTCTGAAATCTGATGTTTTTTCGTCTCCTCTTTGTCAGCCCAATAATTGGATATTTCTTTGACTAAGCGTCTGTCGACGGACTTCAGTTGCTTTTTTTGTGAACATTGTTCAGTTGGCCGGTCGATAACTTATAATTTTTTTGCTTCGACGTTGTGTTTCTTCGAAGACATTGAATTCTTGGTATTTAGATTTCCTAATTAAAACGAATCTTCCTATTTTCGAAAAAAAAAATACTAGAATACGTAGCCTTTGCTAGGTATTACAACAGCCGTAAATTTCTCAATAATCATCATTGAATGGAATGCCAACCACTATGACTACGTGGCTGTTGTAAAACCGCGACCTCTCTGCTTTTCCAGAACATAGTCACCCAGACCTCGTTGCAAAGGAAAAAGTCACTGCCCGACGTCCAGGACTTGCCGAGGAGCACTGGCGCCATGTCGAGAGAGGAGGTGTCCTATTTGGGATCTGCCCGCCGGGAAGAAATGCGAAGGCAACAGGATGAATACGAACGACTCCGTGCCAATCCTCTACTATACCTGATCAGTCCGCAAGTCAAGGTAGGCATTTCGTTGTTTGTGTTGTACCTGCTAGAGTTTGAACATTCTCTGAAAACCTAACCTGTGAATTAGATCAACTTTTAGTTCTTGTTGTGTCGTTTTGGTAACTGCAAACATAAATACGAGTTATTTGTAAGAGATGAAAAGTAACTCTCTCTATTAGAGTTGTTTTTCTGAAAATTGGACTGTAATTTTCTGTTGGAAGATTTGGAGTTTTAGTAACAGTGTGGAAACTAATCGTTGTGCTGAAGTTCGACTTGTATTTTCTAGATCAATTATCTTATCTCTTTTGGTATCAATGTTAATTATCACAACAAAAATATGTTGAGGGCGGATTTGAACTAACTGCCTCTCGGTCCAATCGGGCACACTACCACTGCCACAATTCGTCGTTTAATTTCATTATCAATAAAAAAATTTCTCTGAAAAGTTGGCTTTGATTGAAGAGTAATTTTGTTGGAATATACATTGAATAGAAGTTCAGCTGGATGAAGATTATTTGAGCTTTTACTCCTTTTCTTATACCTGACTACCTTANACTGAAACCTAAAAGCTCTGTATTTCAACAATGACTCTAGCTAAAGTGTTAAGGCAAATTGAACCCCTTATCACAAAACATTTTTTTAAACTTGTACTTCTGCCTGCTGGGATTCGTTTACCTATAGAAATAAGATATCTTGAATAAGTACCACCTGAACAAAAAGCTATGCTCCATTGGAGAAATAGCGTTAATACATTCAAAGAGTCAGTTAAAATGATGAATATTTTTCCCAAGAATGTAACTCACAAGTTTCTAATTTGGTTCTGTATTCCCATAGCTGTTTCCATGAGTGTGCTTGACATGGCAAATCAGCTATATATATTAGCCTTGAACCAGCTGTAAGGATACCAAAATTTGTGGTGCAGGGCCACATCAAGAAATGAGTCAATAACAGTCATAAAGAGTACTGAGAAATTCTTCATAAAGGGACCATTCGAAAAAAAAATCAAAGAACTGCTTCAACTCACAGTGTTCCTTTAGAAGACACCTGAAAAAATAGGACTGCCCTCAATGCAACACGAGGACAACGGTAACTTGTCTTGAATGTGATGCAAGCTTATGAACAATCCAAATTAGGTCCAAATTGAGCAAATGAGGTGATTTTAGATTGTTGTGAAAGTAACTCAGGCATCGGTTTTCTCCAAAAAGATAAATGTCTCCGAACCGGATTTAACTATAACAGGACAGGCAATTGCGCTTTCTGCTTCGATACGTTTGTTGGGGGTTAAAATAGACACCAATATGTCTTGGCACAATCATGTCGCTGAAATTGCAAAGGCTGCTTGTCAAAAGATTGGAACACTGTTCCGCACCAGAAAACTATACACCTCAGCAACTTTATTGCTTTATAAAGCTCCAATCAGACCTCCTTTGGAGTATTGTTCTCATTCGTGTATGGAGCTTCGCCCTGAAACATACCCTGAAGTTACTGGATTCCATCCAGAAAAGAGCCATTCGCTCTTAGATACTATAGATACTTTCACGAGAGGTATGTGTATCTGTAGAGTAGGGAGGGTAAGTGTAAGCTCACCCACTTAGGCCACATATAACCCATTGTACATCCTCCCGAGGAGTTGTCCTCCTAGGTCATCGTCCATCCTGTCCTTTCCAGGAAAGTGGACAGGTCGCTGAGAGACATCTCCTTTATATCGGCAGGTGTAGGCCAAGACTCGCCGAACACACACTCTCTTATTCCCGATAACTCCGGGCACTCGCTCAGAACAGTCTCATAATCCTGTTCACACATCCTGCATAGAGGTGTGTCCACTAGCCCCATATTATGGAGGTGTTTCCTTAGTTGACAGTGGCCAGTCAGAAATCCTACTGTAAGGCGTAGATTTTTCCTGGTCATCGCCAGATATTTCTTCGGCGCTAGCTTCCCAAGGTCNATTTGAGCCCATCCTGCGCTCTATCGCACAGTGTGTTTACAAATTTGCCGGTCTGCAAGATAACTATGTCATCTGCGTATGCAATTGTGTAGAATCCATTTTTGTTAAGGTGATTAATTAGGGTATCCAGAACTATCTTCCAGAGGAGGGGTGATAAGACCCCTCCCTGTGTACATCCCCTCATGACCAATCCTTTCACTATGATGTCTTCTACATTAATATTTATTGCTCTACTAGAGAGCATCTGGAGTATCCATTTTCCTACTACCAGGGGTACATTCCTGCTGGGTAATTGTTGGAAAGGTTCACGAGAGGTGTTCAAGCACATTTGATTCCACCAAGAGTGGTACATATCAGAAATTTGCGACGGACTGTGCCTGATCATCGTTTTGAGGTTCAATTCAGTACACCTCGAAGTTCACTGAACTCTTTCATTTGGAGAATTGCGTATATGTGGAGTAAACTTCCTGGAAAAGTTTTTCCCAATGAAATTCATCTCCGGCAATTCAAATTCAACGTGAATCGCTTTTTCACACAGGCACCGCTCTTAGAGCACCTTAAGAATTTTCCTGTAGGGCTTGTATTGAAAGACCTTGTACAAATCAGTACAGGAAAAAATATTTTTCTAGTTAGATTCGGAAGTACACTTGTATGTATTCCTATAGAATTTTATTTTTTTTTTGGCTGTGGAAGATCATGTTATTCAAAAATTATTTCACAAAACTCCACTTCTTTCATATAATTACGGATTATGTTTAATAACAATGATAGTTTGTGTTGAAGGTTTTGAGTACGTCAGTAATTTGAGTTTCAAGAATTCTAAGAAATACTAATGTTGGTAGACATAACATATCAGCAATTTTCCTCAGTGGCGCTATTTATAAAATATATTAATGACTCCTGTCATCAATTTCTTTTACATGACCATTGTTTGGGATTTTCCAGATGGGTTGTTTGCGAAATAGCTAAATCTGTATAAGTGACTGTTTATAGTTCATCAGATACAATATTATAATTGACTCTGAAATTAATTTTTTTATTCAAATCTCGTAGTTTTTTGCAGTTACCAAACATTTTCAGAATTATTCTTCAAAATCTAATGCCCTTCTCAAGGCAAATATTCTATCGACACAACACATTTCGAATAATCATTATTCTTAAGTGATGCCTCGCACTGTTTTTGAGTTCGACTTTACCTAGGTTTTATCCGAGACTAGTAGTGTGCGAAAAAAACTATTGGTATCGTGAATAAGGTCAGTACACAAGAGGATTGCTGTTGGATGTACTCGTAATTGCATAATTGTTCAATAACTCTAAAAGCTTTGCTATTCGATATAAGAACATGTCATTCCTGAATATTTTTATCTGGGTTACTTACCATTAGCCCGTTTATTTTGAAATGTCGACAAAGTCCTACGATTGGAACAAAATTAGAAAAAAATACTAGTACAGGACGCTTTCTACTTGATTGATTACTTCTGTTTGTAACAGGTGCCAAGTAAGACATATTGAAGTTGCGTACCAGAGAAAAATATTTGTAATCCTTTGAAATACTGATGTTTTCCAAGATTATGTACTGTACACAAAAATGTGGGGTGAATGTTTCGAGATTTCATATCGAAGTATTTATTTTCTTTCATTTTGTCACTTAACACTATATATTGAAGAAGAAAGTGATACAAATCATGAAATTATGAAACAACAACAAAAATTATTTGGCGCTCCGGGGCGACTTCATTGATTCCAGTGGCGCATTTGCTTTTTCAGCTGCAGAAAAACCCGGAAAAACCTGCAACACCACACAATTTGAAGATCTTAATCTGCCATCTTAATCTCTCTTTCATAAAACGAAATATAGGGTGTCTACAGAGGCTCCAATAAATACAAGACATCGCCAGAACACTTAGTGATACGACTATCGTCAAACTTATACCAGTCCGTTTCGTCTTTGACCAAGACGTAATAATGAAATAGTCAGTTAGTTTGGCGCATGTTTGGCAATCGTTAAAAGTTCCATTTTCAGATGATTTAACAATAAGCTTTGCACGGACTGGTTATCGAACATATTAGGAAACGCTAGTTGAAGTTCCAGAAAAATCACATATGTTTTTGCTACCTCTTGAACATTCACTACAAAGTAAACAAGTGAGGATTTTTCCAGCAGACAGTACGGAATCATTCAATCCAGAGCGGTCAGGAGTATTGATTCTGCTATTGGTTTGCTCACGAAGAGTATTCAACAAGAACCCCAAGAATTCGAGACAATCCTCTTGTTGTCCTACCGAGTGTCTAGCGGATAATGACTACAGGAAATCGGTTGGAGGGAAAGATGATACATTCTTACGAAACTGCAGCTGCATGAACAGGTGTTTGAGTTTGGTGAATGAGTAGGAAACATTATCGTTCTCCTTGATCATTAAAACCACATTCTTGAAATTCTTCGTCATGGGCAACACTTGTAAAATGCTATTCATGTAGCAAGTGTTTCTTAAATTATCCAATCCAACTATCAGAACAACTGACAACCGGGTTTTCCGTCAACCGGTTTAAACCCCCTTATGTGAGCTGAAAATTAATATTTCATCAACTCAGACCAGGAGATTTTGAACGCCGCAGGGCTTTTTGTCAGTAGTTTCTGGAAAGTGTCAACCAAGTGCGTGATTTTTCATTAAATTGCATTTGGACATGAATAACGCCTGCGTTGGCCAAGCCCGAAGGCCTTTCAACTGGCATCTTCCCTCTCTCTAGCGCCACCACTGCCAGGGAAACCCCCTACTCCTCCGAACTCTTCCCCCACCTCCTGTGAACGACGCGTAAAAACGTCGTGCATACGAGGAGACGAAATTACGGGACTAGAAGACCCATTTTTTCATTATCCCATATAGTTCCAAATACATGAATTACTGATAATTACAATAAGAAACACATTATAAAAGTATTATTCTAACACAATTCTTAATGTCCATAATCCAAAACAAACAACTAATTTTGACGGCGTTTCCTACATATACCAACTTACTGCCCTGCCCGGACTGGTTCTGTCACCAACACCTCTCAGTGACGACTCAATG